GGAGTTCCATCAATATAAAAACTCTGCTCCATGCAAATCACCATCTCCCACCCTGTGGGTCCTGAACTGCAGTAAACCAGGATCCGGGGAAAGAGTTCAGGAACTCAGTTTGTCCATTGCAGTGGCTAGAACACTTCCTTCACTTTTATCCATGGACAGCATCCTTCTTCGATGAGGTGCAGCACTTCAAAAAGTCTTTGCTTACTTAATAACAACACACTAAGTATTAATCCAAACCAAATACTCATATCCCAGACCACTACCCCATCACCATCATCCCTCCCACCAAGCAGGTTTCAGGGGGAATGTCAGGGTGTATCATGGGAAAGAGGTATTCAGTAATACACAATAATCTGGTTGCCACAAGGGAAACCATTCCTACCAACTCAGTCTAACTTACCAAAACACTTCAGTGGTTACCAAATCCAAAATCATCTTCTTGTTTGCAGCTGGAGAAAACCTTTCTGCTTCTACCAACAGTCTTTGTTATCCCTTTTCTCCCTACCTCCAGGGGCTACCCACTCTAAGGAGGTAGGAAGGGGTATACAATACCTTGGTTATTCAGAGCTATTACACTTGCTGTAGCTATCAGAAAATAAATACAAACATTACAGCAAAACAAAACTTAAAGGTACAAAATAATCATATTGTGGTATGTTAGAGACTGCTTTCTGTAAACACCAAAAAGGTGATGCGTTTAGTCTTTTTATTTTACAGTCTCTAATTCTGTTGTAGCTATCTTCTGTTTCTGGAGTTGACTTTATCATTCGAGGATTTTCGGCTTGTAGATATACCAAGTGCAGGTAAACACAGGAATCGGAAACAGTTCTGTTGGCACTTCCTCTTCTCTTCAGACACTTGTATGAGAGGAGAGAAAACAAAACTCCATCCTGCTGGGACCGGTCTTAAAAAGAGGGAACAATCTGGTGTTAATTCTGTGTTCTCTGCCATGGGCATCAGTGGCATACTTGTCCAGGGGGGTCTTTAAGACCAACCTTCAATAACTGGGGAGATTCCTTCTCTGGCTCCCCCCTTTAGAGATGGACAAAACTCAATCTTGTCCAATCTCTACCACTTATACCTAGCATTATACTAAAGAGATGACCAACATCTGCAGCATCGGGTCACGCAATGAGCTATTATACAAACACTAACTATGTACATCACTAATATAAACAGTTGTTTTATCCAGGTCCAGTTTGGTAACCATGAAGTAAGTTTGTGGAGAATGTCTCCAAAACCCAGTGAGACATCATCAAGAGTTACCTGATGCAGAACTTGGGTTTGCTTCCGAATTGCAGCCAAATCTTTATTAATTCTTCCACTTTGGTCTACATAAGAACAGCAACTGGTGTTGATGACCGTACACACACCTCCTTGTGAGGCTAGTAAAAAGTTGAGGGCCATTTGGTTTTGTAGTACTGCATGAGACAAACTATGTACTTCCTCTTGTAAGGCCACGATTGCATCTGAAACCTGATTTTGAATGTGTTCAATAACAGCTGAGATGTTAACAATTACCTTTTCTAATTCACTTACTCCTAGAGACGGGATCAGGGCCCTAACTATACTGTGAAAAAACATGGGATGTTCAACAAGAGGATTGTTGGTTCTTTTTACCCTTTTTGGATAAGTTCTTACCCATTCTCTTTGTTCATCAATTTGGTTGAGTACCGTTTTGTTTGGGATTACAGCCCCAAGGAAAAAGGTCTGATCTTTACCAAGGGGAAAAATTTTCCAGGCTTCGTTTTCACAGATCCAATACCACCCTGAACCCTGCAGAGGAATCAATCTCCAGGGTGTCAGTGCCATCCTTATTACAATTTCTGGTTTTATCACTGTCCCACCATTTAATGTAGACCCAGTCTCCAGGCTGGAATTGATGCGCAGGGGTGTTGTATTAGGGAGGGGTTTGAACCATAGTGAATCTTGAAACCACAACACCGGTGAAAGCTCAACAAAAACCAATACTTATTACCAAGAGGTGGCCAACAAAACGAACAAACCCAAAAGGGAGGAAGGAGGAGAGAAATAAGCCCCCAGCACGACCTTCCCAGTTACCCAGCTGTTGCCCATAAAGTTATCTTACTGACCTAGCATGCCTATAATTACCCATAGCAGAAGCTGCATCCTTGGAGAGTCAGTAAGTTCACAAAACTGGCAGGCATCCCCACTGAAAGGCAACGTTGTCCTTGGTGTGAAGTTAGCTCCCCTCCAAGAAAGCACTATCTGCTTTTATACAATTAATTGAGTGACCTCCACAGGTGTGGCCATCACTGCCCAGCCAGAGGCCCTCAGTCCCACCCCCTATTATGCAAGTGCATCCCTTCAGCGCATGCGTGAGATTTTGCAATTCCACGTACACATGCGCAGTATGCTTCGGGGGTCGTGACTTCCTCCCCTCTTCTTCAGTTTCTCCTTCAAATGTCCTTGGCAGACGATGAACCAATCACAGGACACCAATTAATATAGTTTATACAAGAAGCTCTCTCTCCGAGGATGAAGCTACCGTTTTATCAGTGAACTTGGCAGGGAAAGAACAAAACTTTTACAGTTGTCTGGGCCAAACACAGACCAAAAGTATCAGCATAAATTCACCTTGATACAGGTGTCCAATCCTGTAGGTCTGGATAACTCAATGAATCTCTGGAGTTTCTGTAAAGTAGAGCCTAGAGCCATCAAATACTTTTGTAGATCAACTTTCCCCCTCATGTGAATGTCCCCTGGAATATGCGGAGCTTGGTATGGTCTCCCATATATTTGCCTTGGTTGTATGCGAATTCTCAACATAGCTAGAGGCAAAGCCTGAACCCATGATATGGATGTTTCCTGACAAATTTTACCAATTTGCATTTTAAGAGTACCATTCATATGTTCTACTTTGCCGGTTGCCTGAGGTCTGTAGGGAGTATGCAGGTCCCAGACAATTCCCAGGATGCGACAAACCTCCTTCACTATTGTTGCAATAAAATGTGTTCCTCTATCTGATGACATTCCTAGAGGAACCCCAAACCTTGGAATTATATGGTTGAGCAAAGCTTTTACCACTTCTCTTGCTGTGTTAGTGCTATAGGGGTAAGGTTCAGGTCATCCACTGAAGGTGTCAACCAGTACCAGTATGAACTTGTATCCCTCCCTGGGTGGTAACTCAGCAAAATCTATTTGCCAATAATCTCTGGGAAGGTCCCTGGCCTTTGTTACCCCTAGCACCACTCTCTTGCTTGTATCAGGATTGTTTTGCCTGCAGATTTCACATTTACTTACAATGGATTGCACGACTCTGGTCATACTTGTCCCTATTACTACCTTCTTCAAATGTTTTAGAAGGTTTTCTGTTCCCCAGTGGGTAGCCTTATGTTCCCACAGAGCTATCTCCCTGAGGAGTTGGGGTGTGACCACAACCTGTCCTGTAGGTGTAGCCCATCCTCTTTCTTTGATTTCAGCATTAAGGGACTTCATTAACTGGTGGTCTTTCTCATCATATTTTGGGGTGAACCCTGTCAGATCGATTTCCTTCTGTGGTATTACTGCTAGGGGGACCGGGCTCCGTCCCGGGTCTTTCCGCTGCCCCCGGGGTGGGCAGTGGGACCCAGGGCTGGCAGAGGGACCAAGGTAGGTGGCGGGACGCCTCCCCCTCCCTCCCCCCCCGGCCACATGGGGTGGGACCGGGCTCCATCCCGGGTCTTTCCGGCGCCGCGCGCGCTTGGCGCGCGCGGTTTTCTCCCCACACACAACCGCAGCACGAGAGGGGAGAGAGATGGGCAGCCTTGCCGGCAGTTGCTACACGCCCGTGGAGGTGGAGGGGGCTACTTCAGTGCACACAGAGGTTTGGCGTTCCAGGTTTGAGGGGGGAAGGGGGAGGGGGGATTCAGGGGAAGGCAGGGGAGGAATAGAGGGGAGGGACATCAAGCAGACCATGGGGGTCCTCGGACTGACAGAAGGGAGTGCGGGACAATCCCGTATGTATTGTCACAGGTAAGCAGTGTACCTGAGATACGTGGTAACACAGTGGGGGTAGCATATAGCTAGGGTGGATAGTGGGGGCCCTTTACAGTGATGGGGTTCCCAGCCAGGCTGGATGGGTACAGGGGACACTACGGTTGGTCAGTTGGTTTGCTTGTTTGTTTGTCCTTTTGTTTGTGGTTCACCTGCGGCTACTGCCCAGGTTCCCTATGTTCTGGATAGACTTGCTTTGCTCTGTCTTGTAAGGATGGGTAGGACAAAGGGATGTATCTCCTTATGATTATTTACAAAATAGGTGGTAGTAAAGTAGGAAAGGAAAGACTTGCCCAAATCGCTCTAACAGGTACATAGCCTGTATGCCCCTATGTGGTTGCATGTTATGCTGGCGATGGTACATGCCTTCGGTAGGGTTGCCCACGCCAGACAGGTCAAACCATAGGACCAATTACACTACATTCTTGGGCAGGATGAGCTCATTAGCCTTCTGGCAGTCATCCTAGGAGAAGGACAACTCTAATTCCAAACCCGGGCAGATGGAGCTCGCTTAGCCCTGTAAGGCCATCCATCTAAGAGAAGGTCACTCTAATCAAACCTACATCCTGAGGACCTCGCTGCCACCGTCCAAGCTTGCTCGGCCCTGGCAGATGAACCTCAGGATTAAAGGGTGGGTTCAGTTCCGCGCATACTGCATCTCACCTAAAAAATCTACTGCGCAGGCTTGAAGGCTTTACCCACATGCAAAAAGTCCTGCAGCGATGGGCGAGGGTCGAAACGGTAGGTGAAAGGTGCACTGGGAGCCGCAGACTCAACCCTGCATGCAGGCGGTTCAGGATATTGGTCATTTGAGACTGACGGAGATGAGAGTCTCTTGGGGCAGCACCCTGAACGACCAAGCAGCCTTTTCAAGGACAGCACTGCTTGCTCCACTCGGAGAGGGGCCTAGAAAAGGTGGCCTAAACAAAGCTCATCTCCACCTTCACCCAGTTGGTTAACTGCAGACCAACGGGCATCTTCTTCCAATGCGGTCGCACAAAGAGTAAAAGACAAAGGCATGCACCTGCCTCCAAAGGTGTACCTAAATTAACTCTAGCATGTTGGAACATCAGAACCATGCTTGATTCTGCGGACAGCGGACGTCCTGAGCGACGTTCTGCCCTAATTGCCCACGAACTGGCTCGTCTCAACATCGACATTGCTGCTCTCAGTGAAGTTCGCCTTCACGAGGAAGGCAGCCTCAGAGAACATGGTGCCGGTTACACACTCTTTTGGTCAGGTAAGTCCAGAGCCGAAAAACATCTCTCAGGTGTCGGTTTCATGATCAAAAACTCTATTGTCCCTAAACTCAAAAATCTGCTGACAGGCCATTCTGACCGCATTATCTCCCTACGCCTTCCACTAAACAACAACCAACACGTTGTCATCTTCAGTATATATGCCCCAACTCTCCAAGCTGACCCTGCTGAAAAAGATAAATTTTACACTGACCTGCGCTGCCTTACCCAAAAGGTGCCCACAGATGATAAGATCATTATCCTTGGGGATTTCAATGCCAGAGTAGGTAAGAATTTTGAAGCCTGGAAAGGAGTATTAG